AATTTTTTGGACAAAATACAGTCTAGATCACTCATGGCGGTGCTCAATATTTGTTCGTGAAGTTTCACTACAATCGGTTCAGCCAATCTGAAGATTACCTCAGCCAGATAGACAGATAGTTTTTAAATATTCACGTCATAATGCCTTGTAAATAGCCCCCTCAACTATATTGATAAGACAGTTATTTCGATATTATAGACATATACATCAATTTTGTTTATATGTATATATGATTATCGCAGGTTCAATATACATTTAAAATTTAACATTATTTTGAAGAAACTTTTACTAAAGGAAAATCATCAAAGAGTCTGTAGATGCGTGGAATGGGGGACCAATTTTAAGTGTTGCTAACACGCAAATGTTTTGCTCCATTTCCTTATTTTTTGAAAAATGTTTTAAAGCTTCTACTAAAATCTTAATTGCAAAAGGGACGATTTAATTGATGTAATTAAGAAATTGTATGTTATATATCTTTGTGAACCACAGTTTGGATATTATATTTGTTTTATCTTTAATACTTTTGAATTGTTATTGAGTAAAAAGGCTTTTTAAATTCTTTAATGAATGTATGTAATCACATTAAATTAATTTTTTAGTTACTTTTGAAATCTGCCTGATAAGCTCAGAGTCGGATTCACATTGCTGGGCATAACTTTCTGTAAATTTTTAATCAAATTTCGGGATTGGTTCTACAATTGTTTTGTGCCTACTAATAAATCCTTAGCAATTTATCTTGCGAAGACCCAACATAAAGAATGTTGGGTCTTTTTTTTTACTTATTATAAGCCAGTACCTGGTGGTAAGTGGTGATGCAACCTTAGATGGTAAATCGCACTGTTTTAGCCTAACAAAAGCCAGCTTAACAAAAGTTGAAGACGCCCAGATTGTATTCGGACGGAAAATAGACGCCAGCAAATTATTCCACTCCTTTGCTGTAGGCATTACAAAAGACGAAGCAAACCATTTGGTTCTAAAGCGTGTAATATCGACAATAAAGGGATGAAGACCCGCCGACTGCCTGGTTGTCCGATGGTGGAAAGGAGAAGAAGGAATTAAAGCGTGTGATTCCTGCGCACACTCACTGAATAGCATCCTATAGAATACCGAGAGACGGGCTACTCTGCGCCTGTGCTCGAGGTTGACAAGATTGGTTTCAAGCAAATCAAGGTCACCAATGAGCCTTTTAGCACGTCTCTCCACTGACTCCTACGCTGCCAAGTAGCATTTTGCAGCACCAGCCCATATGTGACAGCAGTACTCCATGCATGACCGGACTAGCGCTTTATATAAGGTAAGAAGCTGCCCCGGCGTGAAGTACCGCCGGACCCTTGCAAGAACACCAAGTTTCCTTGCGGCTTCTTTAGCTCTGGCCTCAATGAACCGCCCATAGTTGAGGTTCGAAGAAAATTCAACAACTAACAACTAAAGGTGTTCAGTGTATTCCAAGGATACATTCCGGAAAGTAGGAGCCAGGGTGAGTTTTTAAAAGACACGCTTGTATTTTGGAGGCGTTAAATCTCATGAGATTGGCATCGCCCCATTTGGAGACTCCCTGTAGTGTGAGACTCACACGCTCAACCACGGCCTCTCTTTCGGACTGGATTTGATCCCGACTGGCCCAGGCTCATAATTGGTATCTCGCCACAATTGTGCTGTCGTCTGCATACCCATAGATACCGGGACTGAGCAGATCATTTATATGCAGCAGGAAGACAGTTGCGGAGAGAACGGACCCCTGAGGAACACCATCAGGATGAGCAGCCATCCGGAGAGACCGTTCACTTTAGAAAGTCATCACCCAGACAATCAGGCCAGGGGATAAGCCGTACGATGAAAGCTTGCCCAATAGCTTAGCGTATCAAACTCTGTCAAAGGCCTTCGAAACATCGAAGGAAACAGCAAGTGTTTCACCACTGTTTAGTTAAAGGATGTCTTCTTAAGGCTAATGTCCGGAGCTTTGCGGTCTCGAGCATCGATCCAGGATAAGTACGCCAAATGCTTGTACTTTTCAGCAGGAGCGCACTCGGCGTTGAACCATGGTCGAGTTTTACCACCAATGGGCGCGTCGGCAAAGAGGATGAAATACTCAATTGCTTGACGTATCACATTGATTATGGCATCCTCGCAGCTCGTCGGGTCTTGACGAGAAGCAGACCTGCCGCCAAGGATGAGATGCAAAGAAATGCTGCATCTCACCCCGATCTGCTGACTTGTATTGCCACATATACGTGGTAGAGCCATACTGAAGCTATATTAGTAGTATAGTTGTAGCACGAATGGGTCGGCTTGACCGGGCAAGGACCACACTCTCTCTCACAGAATACCAGCGTTAAATAGCAGCTTAACACTGCTGTGTTTCGTATGGTGAGTGTAGAGAACCGGAGACTCTTTTTACTTGTAAAGAGGCATTCCATCTTAGTCCTCACGTGTGACAGCGCATCTGTATTTTGATTCGCAAACGAGGATAGATGTACATGTCTATGGGCCACAGCAACCACTTACCATCAGGTGGACTGTGTACTCGTTTGTTACCCTGTCCTATAAAACAACATTCGCCGCACACCGTGGAAATCGTAGTTAGGTGGGAAATATAACGACACAGATTTCACCAGACAGTGGTCAAAAGTTCCTAAGGGTGAAGTAACCTAAACATCGTACCTGTCTGGAAGATCGAGGCAGTTGGTAGTGTGCCCATCCACATCAGGTACCCTAGTCGCTTGTTGTACCAGCTGAGAGAGCCCCAGCGACAAGGGAAAACTCCACGCCCCGCTCCCAGCGTGATCGGTCTTCTGGTATGGGAACAGCCAGTCCTGATGACAAGCATTAAAGTCCCCCAGAAAAACCAACTGTCCATTTGGGTACCGATTTATAGCCACGTTAGAGGCTTCACTGAGGTGTTCAAATAGCCTAGTTGTCTCCTGGTCACCGCTGTGCGGTAGACACAAGAATAAATAATTTTATCTATTCCTGTGTCTATCAATACCCAGATCGTAGAGAAAGTGGGGTCTTCAAGGTGACGGAGACGCGTACAGCAGATGTCGTTGCGGACGTAAACACAGACTCCGGCGAGCTGAAGGTAATTATGCTCCAATGTGTACCCAGGGTAGCCAAGGTACGCCGCATATAGAGGACATCTGATCTGCGTCTCAGTCAAGAATAGTAAGTGCGGCTTGTCAGTCTTAAGGTGGTAGTGGACTGCATTGAGATTACAGTGCAGGCCTCGGACGTTTGTGAGGTGCACTTTGATGGAGAGTGAGTCCAACCGCTGTACAAACTTACTCTTCTTTTTCCTTTTTTCCATAATGGTGGAGTGAATAGGTTGAGAGAATGGTAGTTGGCCGAGACGTCGCACATATAACCTAGGGACGGAAACAAGAGTCACAGCATCGATGGTAACCTATCATAGAGATCGTAGGGACGTCCAAAACCCCATGGAAATCATCGCCATGCCCTCTTCTCCGGTCGGCAACCGGCATGGTGGAGCCATCCCAGGATTTTTGTTAGATGGCGGGGCAGCCTTTCATGAGTAGCTGGCTCATTAATTGGGCCCCCAACTATCCACGGTCGGCCAGCGGTGCAACCGTGCTTCGGATCCCGCTAACCTCCATAACCAGGCATCTGGCACTAAGAAACAACCGCGTCGCAACCGGTTCGTATGCGTAACGCAATTATCCAGACCCATCCTCCCTAAGAAATGGATTTCATCTTACATGATACCGGAACACGACGTGCATCATTTGGTATGTCTTTGCCAGGTGGGTGGTAACTAACCCTCGGCCGGCCTACCATCAGTATGTTAGTAGTTAACTGCTCGTTTAGCACTACCCAGAGCATACGTGTATGACGCGAGCAGCTTCATCCTCAAGAGGTTTTTGCAAGATAAATTCATTCTCTCTACCCATTGACAGTGAATATATATTTTTTTTTTAGTTTTTCTCAGCGATATTTTTAGAGATACCGTAAGTGTGTACTGTGTATTCTAACCACTAGCCTTCTGCGCTGGACAGGATTTGAATGCCCGAGTGCACGGGTGCACTCTATATTACCTCACTCTAATAGTTCGACAGGATGGTAAACTGACACGACCAGAGAAAGATCAGGTGCAGGACCAACGGATTTACGAGTTTTCACAGCTAACACCGTGAGCTTCCTGAATCCTGGCTGCCACTGAGAATTTGTTAACAGAAAAACTCGATAGCTCCTTTTTGCTGGCCCGACCCGGAATTCGAACCTGAGACCTCAGCTGAGAATCAGCAATTGCGTTAACGAAAACTAGAGAAACGAAGCAGTTTAAATATTACTCTACTGAGCAGACACACAAGAGGCCAATTTGACTTTGCCTTCTAAGCGACTGCGACACTGTACGTCACTCTATATATCAAGTATCAACGCCGAAAATTCCGATACTGGTTGAGGCAACGCAAGCTAGCGTCAAGCAGTTACTGAGAATTTCTTGAAAGAAGAACTATATAACTGATTTTTTTGGTTTACCACCACTAGTCAGAAGTACATATTAGTGATATTAGACATAAAATATCCAGACCCTACACCAGTACCAGCTAATATTTGGTACTGACCGCGATACAAGCCAGTCAAGCGTGACGGAAACGCTTTTACTCCCTACTATACAATAGCCCTATGTACAGTTAACTTCTTAACTTTACCGTTGCCAAACAACCTATTAAAGACCACCGCTGAACATAGGCCTCCGCTCCGCTATAGGTTTGGCCTCATAGGGGGGATATTTGCCATATTTGTCAAGCTTGGGAAGCGAGTTGGCCACCGCAGTTTTTATTTTTAGTCGTTATTAGGAAAACGTTGCTGCCCATTTCCTGATTTGTTTCCCTCTGTCGCCTTTTACAACACTCACGGGCTAATTAGGGATAGTGTAAATTCTCACATTACCACTACACGGTAAATGTACAACAGAGTGGCCCGTTTGTAGGTCAATTAAAAGAAGTAAGGAGAACAACAATATTTATATTATATTAATCATTTTAAAATTCACACATAGGCGCATTTTTACAGTACTCCTCGAATCCGGGCAGTGACACTACCGTATGGTGAAGTTTCTTGAAGCTCGGGTATTTCTCGTCCAGGTCGGGTATTCCTAGAACCATTTTGAAGCAGTCGTACATGCCAGCAAATAAAAAATCGGCCCAAGTTAACTGAAAAAAAGTAAAACATGCGTGAGTGTCGTGGAACACTCGGTTGGAACGAAGTTCCTTTCGTAGTATCTGGGGGCACGGCAGTGCCCCCGCCAAGACAAGCAAAAAAGCGGCACGGCCGTACCATCCTTTTCTCGAAGCAGTTCAGGCCATTTTCGAAACCCTATAACTTCATTGTAGATAAAACTGGAAGCCTGAATTTTTTTCAGTAACCAAGTAGGCATTGTAAAACCTCGATACATTTCAAATTTCATTAAATTTGAACCAGTAGTTTAAGAATTATACTCGTAACTAGTCAAAATTTCTTAATTTTGTCACTCACTGACTGACCGATCATCAAAACTCTAAGGCTCTTCTAGCAGACATAGAAGCTTCAAAATTGGAATACTATTATTGTTTAGTCTATAAATTAAGGGAAAACTAAAATATTTTGCAATTTCAGTCCAGTTTTAGAGATACACCAACTGCATAAATAACTTTGTAATCCCATATAAATATATAGGATTACAAAGTTACATTTGCAGTGAATGGATCAGTGTACCTGTATATGCATAATATAATAGAATAATAGGTGTAGATAGGTACCTAGATATAACTGTCTACAAAAGAAATGAAATGCCATCAAAAACATAACTTGTAAAAAGGTTTTTTTTACCAATTTATGTTTTTGATGGCATATTATTATTGATAAACGTTATTACGTAATAACGTATTAAAATGAAGCGTCATTTAAAATAAAATAATATTTCTTTCATGGCAAGATAAGAAAAAGTGCGAGGGAGATGGATGTTATTCCATCTCGCTTCCTTATAGCCGCCAAGGCCGTCTACACTACGTCAGAAGGGGTCGTGACGCAAAAATCTTACACTATTTCTCGTTTAGCCCCCATCCGCCAAATTAGTACCGTTCGATAAGGAACTTCGTTCCAATAAACTTAAGCCATTATACAATTTTTTTTTACATATTTATATACAATTTTCTAAATTATTATATTCTATTTTTATGATCATCATTATCATTTCTCATTATTATTCTATGATATTCTTACATCACCACAACGCGGTTAATATAAATTGTTAACCGTGTATTGGTACTGTAAGAATATCCACTACCCTATGTCGTCACGAGGATGTCGTAAGAGGCGACAGAGGGAAAATGAAACAGGAGATTGGCAGGAGCATCTTTATGATAACAAATAAATATAACAAAAATCTGCGATTACCAACATGCTTGCCAATCGTGGCAACTATAGCAAAATCCCCTCATGGGGCAATCTATGAGGGAGGCCTGTGTTCAGCAGTGGATTAAAAATTATACAAAGATTATACAAAATGCAATAAAATATAAAATTTTCTAAGCGTATTTGAAACTATGCATTGCGTGTCAGTTTTTAAGGGTCTTTTAAGGCGTCTGTCTCCTTATAGTTTATTTACTAGCGACCCGCCCCGGCTTCGCCTGGATAGGATCTATTAATGTGGCGTTATTTAGATTTGATAGATAGATGCCATGTAGTGGCGGTCAAGAATATCCACTACCCCATATCCTCCCGTGGGTGTCGTAAAAGGCGACAAAGGGAAACAGCCAGGAGATGGGCAGCAGCATCTTCCTGATAATAGCCAAATTACAATAAAAAAACTGCGGTTGCCAACCCGCTCGCCAAGCGTGGCAACTATGGCAAATACCCCCCAATGATGAGAGCAACAAAAAAACGGCCCCCAGTCCCCGGCGGCCCCGCTATTCCTGGCTACGGTGGCGACCATGGTAACGGCGGGGCAGGGGGTGCTAAGAATCTCCGGTGGAGGTTCGGTTGCCACCTTAGACGACTCGACCTGGCAACGTACAACGCACGCACCCTGAGGACTGACGAGAAGATCGTGGAGCTGGAAGAAGAGATAGACAAGTTGCGCTGGCATATTATAGGATTATCCGAAGTCCGAAGAGAGGGGGAGGACACGGTAATCCTCGAATCCGGCAACTTGCTCTATCACCGGGAGGGCGACCATCTGTCCCAAGGAGGTGTCGGATTTATCGTCCACAAGTCTCTCGTTAACAACGTTGTAAAAATCGGGAGTGTGTCGACGAGGGTTGCGTACCTTATACTCAGAATCACCAAACGGTATTCGCTGAAGGTCATACAGGTTTACGCACCAACCTCGGCACACCCCGATGAGGAGGTGGAGGAAATGTATGAGGATATCTCTAGAGCCATGCATTCCTCCAAAACCAAATATACGGTGTTAATGGGAGACTTCAATGCAAAACTAGGCACAAGAGAGAACGGTGAGCTGAAAGTAGGGAAATTTGGAATAGGGCAACGGAACCCAAGGGGCCAGCAGCTGGCCGACTTCATGGAGAAAGAGGGACTCTTTATGATGAACTCTTTCTTCCAGAAGCGGCCCCACAGGAAGTGGACCTGGTCGAGCCCCGACGGTTCCACAAAAAATGAGATTGACTTCATTATGACGACCAGACGACAACTGTTCAGTGATGTCTCCGTGATCGCGAGGGTGAAAACTGGTAGCGATCACCGAATGGTTAGAGGCACACTGAACCTAAACGTTAAGTTGGAGAGGTCTCGTCTAATGAAGTCAACGCTCCGTCCCCCTCGTGCTCTGTTCCAAAGTCCCGAAACCTTTCAGCTCGAGTTACAAAACCGTTTTCAGTGCCTGGAAGACTGCAATGAAGTGGACGATATGAATGACAAGCTCGTGGAAACTGTCCATGCGGTTGGAGCTAAGTTCTGCAAGACCCGCCGCAGAAGAACACAAAAACTCTCCGATCACACTCTTAATCTCATGGCTGTTAGACGGGAGATGAAGCTACATTCTTCAACAGACTTGACAGCATACAGGCATCTGAACAGACAGATCTCCAAATGCATGCGGCGGGACTTGCGCAACTTCAATACAGCTCGTATTGAAGAAGCGATCCAGCGGAACCAAGGCTCCAAAGTCTTTGCCAGAGATCTGTCTGCCAGAAAGAGCCAACTGTCAAAGCTGAAGACAGAGTGTGGCAGCATCGTTTCCGGGACACCTGAGATTTTGAGTGAGATTGAGAGGTTCTATGGGCAGCTGTACACATCATCGTTGGAGCCACACGCAAGTGTGAGTAACGATCCAAGAGCGAGTCTCATCCGACACTATTCCGAAGATATCCCGGATGTCAGTCTGAGCGAGATTAGGATGGCTCTCCAGCACCTTAAAAACGGTAAGGCCCCAGGCGAGGATGGAATTACAGCGGAGCTTCTGAAAGCGGGTGGAAGACCGGTACTTGAAGTCCTTCAGAAGCTCTTTAATTCCGTCCTCCATGGTGGCATTACACCGGAGGCGTGGAGCAGAAGTGCGGTGGTCTTGTTCTTCAAGAAAGGTGACAACGCTCTCTTGAAGAACTACAGACCGATTTCCCTTCTGAGCCGCGTCTACGTGCTGTTTTCGAGAGTCATTACGAATCGTCTCGCGCGCAGACTTGAAGTCTTCCAGCCTCCCGAACAAGCCGGTTTCCGAAAGGGCTTTAGCACCATAGACCACATACATATCCTTCGGCAAGTTGTACAGAAGTCCGAAGAGTACAATTTGCCACTATGTCTGGCGTATGTGGACTATGAGAAAGCCTTTGATTCCGTCGAAATTTGGGCGGTGCTGCAGTCCCTTCAGCGGTGCCAAGTTGACTGTCGGTATATCGAAGTGTTGAAGTGCTTGTACAGTAGGGCTACGATGGCTATCCGAGTACAGAACCAGAGTACGAAACCTATCCAATTGCAGAGAGGTGTAAGACAGGGTGATGTCATATCCCCGAAACTCTTCACCGCTGCATTGGAAGACGTTTTCAAGCTTCTGGACTGGAAAGGATACGGTATCAACATTAATGGCGAGTACATCACTCACCTTCGATTTGCCGACGATATAGTCCTTATGGCAGAATCGCTGGAGGACCTTAGCACTATGCTCAATGACCTCAATAGTGTTTCCCAACGGATAGGTCTTAAGATGAACATGGACAAAACTAAGATCATGTTTAATGTCCATGTCACACCTATGCCGGTAGTTGTTGGGAACACTAAGCTCGAAGTTGTTGACGAGTATGTTTACCTGGGACAAATAGTCCGACTGGGTAAGTCCAACTTCGACCGAGAGGTCAATCGACGGATTCAACTCGGCTGGGCAGCGTTCGGGAAGCTACGACACATCTTCTCGTCAGACATACCTCAAAACCTTAAAACGAAATTGTACAACCAGTGCGTGTTGCCAGTGATGACTTACGGAACTGAGACGTGGTCCTTCACTGCTGGCCGTATGAGGAAGCTCAAGGTCGCTCAGCGAGCTATGGAGAGGGCTATGCTCGGAGTTTCTCTGCGTGATAAACTTAGGAATGAGGATATCCGCAGTAGAACAAGAGTGACCGACATAGCCCAACGGATTAGTAAGCTGAAGTGGCAGTGGGCCGGCCATATAGCTCGAAGAACCGACAACCGATGGGGAAGAAAGGTTCTCGAGTGGCAGCCTCGTACCGGTAGGCGAAGTCTAGGGCGTCCCCCCACGAGATGGAGTGACGACCTGGTAAGACATGCAGGAAGTCGATGGATGCAGGTGGCTCAGGACCGTGTTTTGTGGCATTCTTTGGGGGAGGCCTATGTTCAGCAGTGGACTTGTGAAGGGCTGTAATGATGATGAATGATATTTAGATTTAAGATAATCAAAAACCATTTATAATTTATATTATCCATTTTTCGTTTTGTAAAAAAAAATCTTCAAGTTTTCGGATAAAATATAGTCTACAACCCTTCGGCGTTGCTCTCTTTTTGTTCGTAAAGCTTCATCACAATCGGTTCAGTCATTTAGAAGATTAGCCCGGACAGACTGACAGACATACAAAAAATTTTAATATAGTTATTTAAGTCTTAATAGCATGCGTATATTATTCCCCCGAACTAATTAGAAGCCAGCTATTTCAATATTACAGACAGACACATCAATTTTATTAAAATGTATAGATTTACTGTTTTATTTAATTAAAATGATAAATACCAATAATGTGAATTAAAGACAAAATATTCATTTTTCTCGCTCACTTCAGGCAGTCCGACAACATTACGTTTCATTCATCTGTAAACAGGTTGCATTCAGGGTTTGTGTGTAACAGAGCGTTGAGCGCGGTGAGGACACGAAGACAAAAATTAAATAAATATTATGTGTAAGTGAAATGTAATATTTTTAGGGAAATTAAACTAATAGACAGGCAATTCAGAACAAAACTGTGTCACAGCTGGGGATCGCGTGAGCACTGGCTGGACGGGTAGCTGGCACTGTATCCGCCCAGCACTTATTGGGAATAAACTTATTGACAAAACGCGCAAATAAATAATGACATCGTTTTCTTTGTCACATTAAACAGAAACAGAAACAGAAACAGAAACAGAAACTTTTTTATTCAATATAGATTATAAATAATACTTATTGAAAGTCACTCTTTTGTATGATTACCACTGGTTCGAAAAAAAAACCTCTGTCCTGGGAAGAACCAGCAAGAAACCCAGCGGGACTTTTTTTTTTAAATAACAGCTTACAATCATGTATGTTACACAAATTAACAACACAATAAATTAGAAATAGATTGGTAGCGATCACCTCATTTCCAGGGGTTATTATCATCTATAAATTCATTAATATTATAATAACCCTTTTTATACAAACTTAGTTTAATAAAGTTTTTGAACTTTGAGCAGGTCAAATTTTGTATATTTTCTGGAATTTTGTTGTAAAAGCGTATACATCGCCCCAAGAATGAATTACTGACTCGATGGAGTCGAGTAACTGGTACTACTAGCTTGTGTCTGTTCCTAGTATTTACAGAATGGATATCACTTATTTTTGTGAAGCTACTTTTGTTTTTGTGTACGTACATTACATTTTCATAAATGTATTGAGAGGTCAAAGTTAATATATTAATTTCCTTAAATTTTTGTCGCAGCGACTCTTTAGGCTTTAAATCATAAATTGCTCTTATGGCCCTCTTCTGTAAAACAAATATAATTTCAGTGTCAGCTGCGTGTCCCCATAGCAAAATACCATAAGACATTATGCTATGGAAATAGCTAAAGTAAACTAATCTAGCTGTTTCAACACTAGTTAGACTTCTAATCTTTTTTACGGCATATGCTGCAGAACTAAGTCTGCTTGCTAGTTTTGATATATGGGGGCTCCATTGAAGCTTCGCGTCTAGTGTGATTCCAAGAAAAATGGTGGTATCTACAAGACTCAGTTTCTCCCCATTTAAAATTACATTAGCATTTAATTGATTGACATTTGGAGTCATAAATTTCATACATTTCGTTTTAGTGCCATTTAAATGCAAATTCTTAACATCGAACCAATTTACTAATTTAGATATAGCATTATTTACTTCGTCATATTTTAGCAATTGTCGACTTAATTTGAAAATTAAAGAAGTGTCATCTGCAAATAATACTATATCATGGTTATCTCCTACTATGTAAGGTAAGTCATTAATGTATACAAGAAACAGAAAGGGGCCGAGAATTGAGCCTTGAGGCACGCCCATTAGTACCATCGACCCGGAAGAACTCATACCGTTAATGACAACTTTTTGCGTTCTCTTACTTAAATATGAAATAATTAATTTAATAGCATCACTTCTTACACCGTAGTGTTGAAGTTTCCTGATTAATGTTTCATGGTGAATACAATCGAAGGCTTTGGATAGGTCACAAAATATACCCAAAGCATCCTGTGAATTCTCCCATGCATTAAATATATATTTAATCAGCTCAACACCGGCATCAGTTGTCGAGCGACCTCTTGTGAAACCAAATTGATTTTTATGAAGTAAATTATTTATATTAAAGAAATTTAATATTTGATCAAGAATAATTTTTTCAAAAATCTTACTAAGTGTTGGTAGTACAGAAATAGGTCTAAAATTGGCGGGGTCTAATGTACTACCAGATTTAAATAAAGGTATTACTTTACTATACTTCATTAAATCAGGAAACACACCAGATTCGATACTAGTATTAAAAATAATAGCTAAATGAGGTGCGATTGTATATAAAAAAACAAAGAACTAGTCTTTTTTATAGGATAGGGTGACAAATGGGCACACTGTCCATCTGATGGTAAGTGATTGCTGTGACCCATAGACATATACATTTATCTTCAATAAAGAATCAAAATGCAGATGCGTTGTCAGCCTTGAGGACTAAGATGGAATGCCTCTTTTCCAGTAAAATGGGTCACCGGTTCCCCACGCTTATCATACGAAACACAGCAGTGTCAAGCTGCCATTTTACGCTAGTATTCTGTGAGAGCTTGGTCCTTTCCCGGTCGAACCGACCCATTCGTGCTACAACTATACTATTAATATAGCTACCATGCTGGCTCTACGTATGACGTATCTATTACGCTCGTAGATTTACGGAGAATTGAACGTTACTAAGTACGCCGTAAGTAACGTATTAAGGCCTCAGAGCCATATACACAGAACAAATAAAGGTAATATCTTAAAATTCTAGATCATTCAAACCTTTCCGACAGCAAGATGTCCATTGTTCTCAATGATTATGTCATCTAGCTTCTTCAGCACGATTGGATAGTAATTCTTAATCAAGTCATCTTGCATTTTTGCCTGTAGCTCCTTATCGGTTTCGTGAAATACCTCAGCAGCCTCTGTAAATATCATTTTGTCTTTTTATAGAGAAGAGGGGGCAAGTAAGCATGGGGCTCACGTGATATGACGACTGTTGCCCATGAATATCTGCAAAATCAGGGGAATTGCGCGTGTGTTGCCAGCTTTTAAAAAAAGAGTAATCTCGTGAAGGTCATTAAGTCGGAACAGTTTAGAAAAAATTATTGTAGATAGCCGATTTCATAAAATAGTTGTGCGAAATAGAAAACTCCTACTGCCAAGCATCCACATCTCTGGATGATGAAATTTATCAGCTGGAATTAATCCGTGTAATCTCTCTACCGTGGTAAATGTGATAGAATACACAATGGGATTCAACATGTCTTTGCAGCGCCAGAGAATCGAGCCGAGCTCACTGGATGCGGTCAAGATTGAAGGAGCTGGCACTGGGGTGTCCCGAACCAGATATTAGAACAATATTTTATGTGGGGCTGAACTTGTGCCTTGTAAAGTTGCAAGCGGTGTACCGGCATGAATTACTGTCCCGCTCTACTGAGCACGCCGAGCTCTCGTCTTAGTAGCTCACTGGGCGAGCTCTCGCCTTAAATTTTACAGTACTCGAACAATCAAAGTTCAATCCCCGTCATCATCATCATCATCATTACAGTTCCTAACAAGTCTATTACTTAACATAGGCCTCCCCCAAGGAATACCACAAATGTCACAATCCTCGTCAGCACCAATGGTGTGATTAAATTCAATTATAAATGCTGATTTAACGCGTAAACTGTGATATGTGAAAACTAACACACATTGAGGCAGCACGGTAGACCTACTCCCAACCTTTTAAGGAATGAAAAGGATATCTGTGTCCAGATATGGGTATTACATAGGCAGTAATTTTGTCTTTTTACTTTTCATTTGAATAATTATCGTCATTATCATTACAATCTCTCACACTATCAGTACACTGGTAAACATAGGCCTCTCCCAAAGAATGCTACAAAACACGGTTCTGATCCACTAGCATTATTTGCATTATGGTAATGAAGTTTCAGTTAAATGGAATGTATATAACATTAGTCTATTTATGCTATAGTAATGAGGGCTAATAAACTTCCGCTTATACGATTTCGCTAGATGGGACTGAGGTGAAGTTTTTTTTAAAATAAAAACAGACAACTTCTCAGTTTTTTTTAAATAAAAGTAGCTTTTTTAAAAATAAAAACAGAGATGTTGGTTTTAAATAAAAGTTTTTCGATTTTTAGAGTATTATATTTATACACAAAACAATGCTTCAGTGGTTTGCTCTTTAATATTTTGCACATTTTTAACTTTTTTTAATTTCTCTACTTTTAGGAATATTCATAGTTTGGTCTATTCGTTTCTAATCAAATTATATATATATATATATATATATATATATATATATATATATATATATATATATATATATATAATATTGCAGAAAAAATATAAATGCTTACATTTTTCTAACAAATTAACTTCTCTGCTATGAAATCTGTCGAATGTTTCATCTCATTCCAAAGTTGAGCCACCCTGGTGGCAGAAAGTCTTGGATACCCTTATTGTAATAACCGGCGCTTTATTGAAATAAAGCCGGTTAAGTCAAAACAAACTGAATACGAATTAATAATAATAAATAAATAAAAAAGTTTTATTTTTCAGGCATCGTAGGTCCATAGCGTGTTAGTAATAGAAATAAAACTTAAGAACTAATGTTAGTAAATAAAACAAATAAATAAATAAATAAAACAGAAATATATGAAAAATTGGGGGGTTTATCAAGCTCCATTTAGTAAATGTAGTTTGACAAACCTACCCAGTGTCGGGCCATCTAGCCGCTCCGCAAAGACCCTCAAGACATTATTCGAGCTTTTCCTCACTCCGTGCATCAATGATCCCACTTTTTTACGCAAGATCGCAAAGTAATCGTCAGTATGCGCATCGGCGAACATGCTTTTTGCACTAAAATAAGGTGGAAGCCCCAACAGCAACCTGAATGCATTGTTATATTGGATACGCAGGGTATTTCCTGCCCTTTGGGTATGATTGGCCCAAAGGCTGCTGGTGTAAAATGATTGGCAGAAGGCCTTGAACAGTGTAATTGAACATCAACTGGTTAAATACTTACTCAAGCGAATGTCATAAAAGAAATCAAGGACTTGGTCTATTTGGAAGTCCTCTTCCAAATCCTCACCAGCAAGTCCAAACTTACGGCCCAAGTAACGATATATAGCTAAACTCTGCGCGTACTGCTTGCCATCTATTTCCAACACAGGTAGTTGGCCAAAAGGTGTTTCTAAAATGGGTATAAAAATCGTTGAAGAGTTTAACATACATACATGAAATACATATAAAAAAATTTAGACGCGGAACAGTTCGTCGTTGAAGCCGCAAATGGGCGAACCTCAATTTTTCAAAAAAATACAAGAGAGCAAGGAAACATTTATTATTCCCCGATTACTAGTTTTTTTTTTTTACTAGAAAATTAAATATATTGGACTTAATGGAAAACTACATATAAGATAAATTTTCTGATGAAAAAAAGCTAGTAATCGAGGAATAATAAATGTTTTCTTGTTCTCCTGTAATTTTTTGAAAAATTGAGGTTCGCCCCTTTGCGGCGTTAGCGATGAATTGTATGCCATACAAATACGACTTCCGAACGGATTTGAAATCGCGGCCCCACAGATCTTTAACCCAACACATAGACACTGTGAGCGCTATTTAGAGCTGTAAAATATTATCGAATTCACATGATGTAGTAAAATATTATAGAATGTGATAAGTATATTTTACGTGTAATAATATTATTGTTTATTTCATCCAGACGTTTTTAGACTCGGCGGGTTGGGTTGTTGGGGACTAACCGTGAGAATCACTAAAAATAGTTCATAGTCATCATAAAAGTTGAGAAGAGTCGGAACAACTGACCGGCCTTAAATTTGACAATCTCCAAATATTCTTGTCTCCCTTAGATTAATGATAAGTCAGAGCGCGCGATGACTTATCATTAATCTATGTTATCTCCTGATTTCTTGCTAGTTTTTATAAGGACTTAATCAGTATTGAATAAAAATTATTTTATTTTATTCTATTATATTCTATTCTACCAGTGTATTGTCACTGATGTAGGATGGAAGGAGAAAGTGCTAACCAAATTAAAATGAAGCGTCATTTAAAATAAAATAATATTTCTTTCATGGCAAGATAAGAAAAAGTGCGAGGGAGATGTATATTATTCCATCTCGCTTCCTTATAGCCGCCAAGGCGAAGGCGATTAGTGACTTGTGTTTAGATCAATAACGACAGCAAAAAGAAAATTTTATCTTTTAGGAAAGTGGAAGAAGAACATAAAGGATGGTTACGTGTTTTTAAATCAGGCCACTCTTCCTCTGTAACACGATGGTCTTCAAACTCCACGCGACCATAGGCCAGCAGCATGCGACCTCCCTCACCCAGTCCTTTTATACTGAAGTATTTGAATACCACTTTGGGCATCTCGACTGTGAATACAATGGATTCTTTAGTTTTGTGTACATTTGTAATAGACAACTTGCATCTGAATATGCATGAGTCGGCCTGGCTGGAGGAGGACACGCCCTCATAAAATACCAGCATATTCCCAAATAGAAACATAATGATGATGCTGTGTGTGCTGGTTAGTGATGACCACTGGAGATTCTTTTTTCTGCTAACAAGGCATTCCATTTTAGACTTCAAAGACGCGCTGACATACCATAAGACTCTTCAGAGATGACAGGGCATCTGTATTGATATTCTTAATCGTGTATCCAAGTGTACTTTGCCCTAATTAGTTCCTCTTACTTGTATACATAATTTACCAAGCTACTTAAATAACTAAAGATTAGCATAAACAAAAAATGGTCAGTCAAAGCATGCAAAATAATTTTCCAAGGAGACATAAACCCCATTTTTGTTAAAAGGAAAGTTTCTAAAAAAGGTTAAAACTAATTATTTTTTATATATTAGATATAACTAATAATAAACATAAACTCACTCTGTTCTAAATGCCGATCCGTTCAAAATTAGTGGTACGAGTATGGAATGTGCAATGATCACGGACCTACTGACATGATAGCAGTGTGCTCGCGACCCGAAATCTGTATTTTATTTACATACATTTGATGTCAAAAAAATTTTGCATATTTTATTAAAGATTTTGTTTCGTTCTCAAATGTACTGGGAGTTGGGAGTATATTAAAGTTTTGGTTTTAGAGGCATACTTTCAAAACGTAAGTGATTTAGTTCTTTATAAAAAATGTTCCTCGTATTCATAAGTTAGAATTTAGTATTATGATCGGTGTATGTAGAGACTATCAATTGTATATATTTTTTGAGCTTCCGGTTTGCTCGGGAGCACCACAAATGGCGAAGATATATTATATATATCTTCATTACTTCACTCAATATAAGGCAGTTATTTCATATATGTATTACCACTATATATATACTAGCTGGCCAGGCAGACGTTATTTTGCCCTTTCCGACGACTCTTCTTATAAAAAATCCTTGAATTCGCAATAAAAAATATTGAAGGTCACTTATCGGGATAAAAAGTATCTTATCTCTCAAGTTGGACCAAGATGCACACAGTGTGTGAAATTTCACTGAAATCAGTTCTGTAGTTTAGGATTTCACAGCGACAAACAACGTCACACGTAATTTTTATATATATATATATATATATATATATATATATATATATATATATATACGAATATTATATAAACGATATATATATAAACGAATATTATAGATAAACGAACACAGCCCCCTAGTGAAACTTCACTAAAAATTCATCAATGTTATGATACGGATTTTTTTAATTTAATTGTAATTGTAAAAAACTAGAGCGAGTACATAACACAAAATACCTTGGAATAATTTTTGACCAACATCTTTCGTGGACTAATCAAATGGAATACGTAAACGCCAGAATTCGTAAGCTTATATGGATATTTAAAAAACTGCGTTACATTACAACGACTAAATTGATAAATCAAATTTATACATCTTTAGCTCAGTCAGTTCTAGGATATTGCATTACGGTATGGGGAGGAGCGGCAAAAACTAACTTACTGAACATAGAAAGAGGACAACCATACCTTCTTAAAGTTATGTATTTTAAGCCTATTAGATTTAATACCGAACAACTGTATAATATTAGTGATGTTCTTACGGTTAGGCAACTATATATCTTACAGTCAACTTTAAAAACACATTCTAACTCGCCAACAGATCCAAAAAAAAAAATCTACACGGGGGAATCATAACGTCATTAAACAAATTTATGTAAAATCTAAATTTGCTGAGAGACAGTACTGTGCCCAATCAAGATATATGTACAATTACTTAAATAAAAAATTAAACTTTCACCGGCTTAATTATCGCGAATGTAAAAAAATACTTACCGATCATCTTAAAAAATTATCTTATCACACCACAGAAAACATTCTACGTCACGGAATAAAATAAAATATTTGTTTATCAGAATAGAATAGAATTAAATAAAATTACATAAAATAATAATAATAAAAATGCTTACACTTTTAAGCACCTATAATCACACGTATACACATACACTCACACGCGCACATTCACACGCGCACACACACACACACAAACACACACACACACACACACACACACACACACACACCACACACACGCACTCACACCCATACACACACACACACACACACACACACACACACACACACACAAACACACACCTACTCTAAATCATAGGTAATCTTGATCGGCTTATCTCAATATTTAATGTTATTAGGAAGAGCGGTGCCTCCTGACACAGGTATTCTTTTATACTTACTAGGAGGCTCCAATTACTTTATTATTTAGTATGCCTTGAGAAAGAAATAAATGGATTTTTAATTTTTTTAATTTAATATAAATATATGAAATAACTGCCTTATATTGAGCAAGGCTGAACCAATTGTATTGAAACTTTACGAACTGATAGAGAACAGAGTGATCTGGACTATTTATATTTTATTCGTAGGTACTTGGAGATTTCTGAAAAATTAAAAATTGATGAAAGATTGTTAAAAAAAAATGCAAGATTGATAAAATAAATGGTCTTTGATTATCTTGAATCTAAATAACGCCACATTAACATATCAGACCTAGACGAAGCCGGGGCGTGTCGCTAGTTGATAACAAATTCAATGTAAACAAAGCAAGTTCAACAACATTATTCAAACCCAATCGAAAACTAAGTTAGAAGAATTTTTTTTTCAACAATTTCTTTATTTTTTATGCACTATGTTTTAGAAGACGTATAAGAGTACATCGTTTTTATAACACATGAAAAATAAGTAAATATAAGATCTATAACATAAAAAAGATGATTTCTCAAGAAGACTTTTTCATAAATTAGTGGTGAAACATAAATCAGATTAGGTACTTGCACATGAAACTAAATTTAGAATATACCTATCACTTTGGTGCTATTTTTGCAACTATGAAAAATCACTGCACCTTGTTATTGTTAATTAATTTACGAAAGGATAACCAAATTAACAAATAACACAAACGGAAACGGAACAAACCACTCAGCCCATCTGAGTCGGTACTTCAATGTCTATAACCTTCCGAATTCCGGTATCGTGACAAATATATTCCTTTCGTTTTTCTATGCTTCTAACAAGAAAGCTAAGGGAAGCAAAATATACTTTTAGCAAATATACTACTAGCTTTTCATCTCCGCTTATGGTGTAAGTACTATCTGTGGTAAAAGCTTTCATTACTCGGTCGAACTCACTACACAGTACCTACCGTAGTAAGCACAGTAAAGCACAGCTACACTTTCCGGCGACCTTGTCGGTACTCTCGCAAATTGGTTGCCGCTCATGCGCGCGCAGGGTCCTTTTTAGGGTTTCGTAGCTAAGCAACAAGGAACCCTTATAGTTTCGCCATGTACGTCCGCGGTTTTACTCAGAGACCTACAGGTGTTACAAATCTGTAATTTGGCATAGTTATAAATATTAATTACGCCTACAAAACTGTGAAATAAAATCTTGAAAAACATTTTTATTTTAGGTACCTCAAATACAGGTGATTTTTTACCATTCTATTCAATCGTGTGGTGTATCGTAGGATAGGCCTTTTAAAATATTGGTGATATATGTTTTTGTAGCTATTAGTAATGTAATAATCAAGAATGTTCATTTTGTGTTAATATATGTATTGTTACAAATAACATCTCTACAGTTTCAGAAAAATTTATGTACTTCTAACTTAAAAACATATTACCAATAACCAAAGACCGTGGTAAGAACAGTGCTATCACCCTAATACACGTGATTAAATCCAAAGCACACTATCTAAACATCTTCCCCTTTATGTCAGCCAATGTTTTATTGAAAAAAAAAAGAAAACATTTCAATTTTTAGCATATAAGCTTCATAGTTGTAGGAAACATGATCATGAACATAAGAAGTACATAAACACCGATTAAAATATCCAATATAAAAACAGCACAATGTAAATAAATACAATCTTAGAATGACACTGACTAAGTCTAATCTTTAGTCTTGAAATCTTTTGAGTCGTCCAGCTCTATTTGGTAACCATCAGGGTTATGAACAGAAAAATTATTACTACTATCCTTACTGGCAGCTTCTCGACTGAACATGTAATCTTTATGAGTTGCATTTAGTTTATCTTTACAAAATTGTGATGATAAATTTTAATAATTGTGATTATAAGTTTTAATATTTTAAATTATTTTTAATATAATTTGTTTCAGCTAACTGAGTTTTGAAATCTGTATTATTTCTATTAAAATTTGATTCAGACAAATTTTAATGTTAGTGGTACTTTAAATTTCCTAATGAACCGAGAAGTTCACCTGTAATAACTATTAATCGATCGAAAATCTAAATATTTCACAATATAATCTCGAGCCTATAATTTAGTAAATTTATCTCGAACCAGCATGGTTTCTGAGGAACAATATTATCAGGAGTTTAAGAACCTATATTATAAATATGTTTTTGTTTATCGTTTTGTGCATAACTAAAACTATTATTTATCATCATTGCGAGTTGGTAACTTGGTTCTTACACTTTGACAATACCAACATACTTTTCTGCGAGACCATTACTCTAACGGGGGCTTACTTTTTTATATTTGTGGCCCATTGTTGAGCAAAATTTCAAAATTCTGCAGAACCAAATGGACTGTTGTCAACAATAATAGTCCTAGGAATAGCAAACTTCGCAAAAATCGTCTTAAGTGACATTATAATGGTGAAACTAGATTTAAATTTTATGAGAATCACTTCCGCCCTTCTGAAATCATCAACAAGAATTAAAAGAATTTAATCAAATTCAGCTATGTCAAGCCCGGCCTGCCACCTATGCTGTCACCAGACATTATATTTTGGTTAGCTCTCTTATTCGCGCGGCTTCAAAAATCCCCTTTTCCGTGTCTAAATTTAGCGCCATTGATTCGCG